TGGCTAGCTAGTGATTAGTTGCTGGGAAGACAGGTGTTGAAGATGCAGTCAGTCTAGGTTGGATCATAAGAGACGCTGTGATTTGGGTACTGGAGGGCACAGGAGATCCAACCCAGCTACCAGGAAGACCGTGTGGTTGGGTGGTTGATTGAAAAACTTATTTGCACATGTGTATGTGCCTGTGACAGATGGAGGTGAGAACATCCGAGAGCTAGTTACCAGTTAGTCTGAGTGTGCAAGGCAGTTACGGGAGGGATCCATAGTGTTTGGGTCTACATATGTGTTCATATGTGCAGGGTCAAGGGGACCTGTGCACCAATTAATGGGGGATCCACAATGCATATGTGGGTGTGTGAGATGCCTGGAAGTCCATGGGGTCCAGGGCCAGTTACTGGCGTAAGCTAAGTGTCTCAGACCAGGTACTGGGGGATGGATCCACAGTGTGCTGGGGCGGGGATGCAAGCTTATCTGCGAGTGAGGGGGTCTGAGTACCAGCAACTGGAGAGGGTCTGTGGGCACTAGGGGCTTGTATTTCCAGGTGCCAGCAACTGGGGAGATGAAGGATCCATGGCCAGCACTTGGACAGACTGCATGGCTAGGCTATTTATTGGGGGGGACCCATACTGTATATATGTACTGTATGTATTTTTCCACTAACATACCTTCATACTGATCAATCAGAGAGGGGAACAGGATGAGGCTGCTGGTGCTGTCTGTGCCTGTGAGAGTGCTGAATGCGTCTGTCTGTGCTGATCTGTGCAGCCAGCTGTGTTTGTATGTACATATGGGTGTTCATTTGAGTTGGAAATACATGCCCAGGCTCACTTCTGGTTCAACCTGGGTATGGGGAGCAGCGGCAGCCTCACCTCTATCAAGCTACCGGCTCTGGCAACCCCTACCACTTTGTTCTGTGGATCTAGCCAGACGTTATTTGGAAGGCAGATATGAGATTGCTTTGCCCATGTTTTGAACATTACTCAAATTCTCTCTGCCTCATTCCCAGTCAACTGGAAAATACAAAATTTTGGTTATTATAGCACCAAGCCTCAGCTAATACAGTTTCTCCAACAGCAAGGCATTACTAGCAAGGCATTTGCCCTGAGCTTCCAGGCAGCTCTGAGCTACCATACTGAGCTCTGAACTGCCTGCAAAATACTATGTGAAATGCACCCTGCACCAGCAAGTGAAGTGTGCCAACAAACCTGAGAGCAAGGCTTTTTTTTTTTTTTTAAATTGCCAGTTGGAGGGCAGTGGTTGCTCATGCACTTCAAACAGCGACCTAGCTGAAAGAAGCACTCCCACTTTCCCTCCCACATAGCACTTGTGCTCTCCCACATCCCACCCACACACTTCCCTCTCCCTTGTGCAGTGAACACAGGTGTGTTACATGGATGTGCAGTGAACAGACCCGGAGGAATGAGAAGGATTAAAACTAAGCTGGCAAAAGATAAACAAAACATAATTACTTTTAGGGCAAATCAGTTTCCCAATTAAGTTCCCACTTGTGCCTGCATGAGAGAAGGGTTGGTAAAGGTGTGGGAATGAATGGCTGACTTATGAGAATGACAGCTGCTTCCTTCAGCGGCAATGTGGGTTTATGCAGGACTACAGCATACATGAAACTACAGCCTGAACCACTTACTTTAAGACTTTCCAATGAGCTAAAGTAGAAAAGGCCAAGAAATTTGATTAGTACTGCATCCATATAAAGAAAAGAAGCATAAATGCTTTTGAGTTAAATGCCAAAAAGAATTAAAACCATAGAAGAATTTGTAAGAGAGGGTGAAAAGTCCACCTCAGTGTATTGAGGGTGAAACAGATTTTTTCCTAAGAGACTGGGTTCTGGAACAAAGCCCAAAACAGGACTTCCACATGCAGTCACTGACGGAGGAATTAGGATTTGCCAAGAACAAATCCTCCAGCCCAGAAATGTAACTCAGAAGAAGGAAACCTTACTCTGCCACCCTGGATATTACTGAGAACTCAAAACACTGAGAATTCAAATAAAATAGAAATAGATGAAGAGTAGGTATGCAAATGGAGCTCATAATGGAGTCCCATTAAAATATATTGAATTGCACCTCCCATTGCAAGCTCACAAAACCACCTCTCTCAAATGAGGAGAGGGCACTACGGACAGGAACATAAGCAATGCAGCATCTAGCTGCAGCATGCAAGACCCTGTCAGCTCTCGAGGAGTGTACACAGTACCCCCCAAAAGATTAGCAGTAGCATCCCAGCCACAGTGAAATCTTCCAAGAAACAATGGACAATGCCACAGCAGAAAATCCTTTAATTATGAACTTGCATCCAAATAAAATATCTATTTATCTAGAGTGGGACATGGGGTGCAGTGAGATCATGTTATTTTTTCAACAGTCTGTTTATAACTTGTAAAATAAATAAAACATGGAAGAGATTTTGATGGCTGCAAACATGTATTTGGCAAAAAGTCACAAAAGCAATCCAAAATTAGATTTTGTATGCATCAATCTAAGAAAAGGGGATGAAAAAAAAGGACAAAAGAAAAAAACCTCAACTACTTTGTCTCAGCTAAAACATGGATTACCATAGCTACTCATGAGGATGAGACCCTCCGGAAAGCAATTAAATATTTCCATTTCGCAAATGCCAACATATGACACAGAACAGGATGTTCCCAGACCTGTTTTCAATTTAAGGGTAGTGGGAATGTTCTCAATACCTCCTAGAATTTTTACCTAAGACACCTGAGATACTACAACAAAGTATCTTCAAAGGGCTACACAAAATGTCATTTAGCAATTCAAAACAAAAACCTGAGAGAAGGGTCAGAAATGTCTTAGGCTAGCCTCAAATGAACAGTGACACCGAAGAAGTTGCCAAAGCTGTCCCGTTTGTCAAAAAGACAGACGAACTCAAGGAAAAAAGTCTAAATCATGACGCAGGCAAAATTTAATCCTTGAACTGTTCTATTTTGTTTAATTAAGTTGGCAAGAAAAATCTTATGCAATAGTCTAAAACTATTATTTTCACTTCTTTGTTATGTATCTTTGGTAAAAGACCCAATGGTTAAGTAACTAATTATGCAACTCCAAGTTGTTCTGCTAGACACAATGTAAAGCAAATAAAAGCAGCTTCCAGTGAAGTAGAAAAACATCAGAACAATGAGGTAACCACAGTAGTGTACAACACTCTATGTTTAGCAACTAAATTTCAGAAATTTTTTTGTCACTTGTTGATATTTTGTTCAAGAAAAGATCACTAGAACAAAAAAAAGCCACGTCTAAGTTCCTGGAAAATTTCCCCAAGAAATTTAGAGACCTATGCAGAAAAGTAGATTAAGAAAATCCCCCAAATGACATAGGGTCCTGAGAATATCCTTCACAGTGGTGTCCATAGTTTGGTATTATTAGGACTGTCATTTCAGATAGGCACAAATAAAGGGGAAAAATTCAGATAGCAAAAGGGACAGAGATACAAAGACTGATCTTGCTTACAACAGAGACCAGTTGTCTTCTGAAGGCTGCAGTGATAACTTCTTGTGGAGTCAAAATTCAACCACCCCGATCTCAAACCTCATGACTAACTTCTTCTTAGCAAGTTCAAGTTCTCAGTATTTTCAACTGTGTGTTGTTTAACATTGGCTTAATTTTCTGTTAAGTTCTGCCTTGAAAATTCATGTGTGATATGTTTATGGACTGAACTACCCAGAGAGAAATTTTAACTCAGTGTTATGAAACTCTTCTTGCCTACATGCCTTTTACACCAGGCAATGGACAAGAAGAAAATTATCCTGAGAACAGGGAACTGTAGGATCCTGCTTCCCCTGAATGCCCTTACCACAAGGCAAAAAGTCATGCCCCTTTCTTCACTTGCTTTCAGTTGTACTCCACAAGAGAAATGGACCCAGATCCAGAGACAAAGTGAATATCTCCCTCCTCTCTTCCTCCCTCAGCAATACGGGACTGCCCGCTGGTGGACATGCTCTCCTGGGATGGGCTGAGAGTTCAAAGCCTCATAACTTCTCAAGATGTGAAATAATGTGTTCACCTGGAGGGCTACCATGCAAAACGTGGTTCACCTAATATCACAACCCACCTGCTCTCCAAGAAAGGAGGAAACCCTGTTCAGTTAGGTACCAATGCTATGAAGAGGATGCAGATCCAAAGACTGGATGCCCAGGTGACACAAGGCCTGCAGCTTCAGGGCCTCATTTCACAAGTTCTAAATTAAAAACTACTAGCTGGTGGTGTTCATTTTTAGTTATAAAGCAAAATCACTTCTGTTTACATGGCTCATGTCCTAAGCAACTCAGAAACTGCCTGGTTCCTCGTGCGTTACCATGGCACTGTAGATTAGCTGAGGTGAGTGTCTATGGGAGGAGGCTGGAGAAAGTGCATTTCAGCAAAGACATTTGCCTCCGCAAACCATTTCACAAACCTTCAGTTAGATGATTTCCATTTAGATTAGGGTGTAAACCTTGCCTATTCGCCACACAGACCTTTTCTCAGGGAAAGATTACTGCATGACTGGAAGTCCTACCATGTCCCTTTTCACAAGCCTGATCATTGTTCAGGACTTCACCTTTGAAGTCGAAATTTTATTTGTTGCAGTTTATCATCATAACGGCTTGACCTCGTCTTTCTTACATTTATTTCTGTATATGAGCTTTTTAAGAAACACTCATTTATTCCCTTTGCATATCACCTATTTCTTCATTCATGTAACACACTTTGCCTCTAACAAAGGACTAATCCTAGGGATCGTGTCCAATAAAAGAGTATTCTTCTTGAACTAATTTCAACTGGAACACAATCACTCGTGAATGATAAAATACAGTGATATAAGCATGAATGATAAAAGCATTTTTTCCTATAACATACCCATGAATTGCAAGCAACACATATGTAATGCACTGTAACATTTATTTCTATTCAGAGAGTGAATTTAGATTTTCAAATTATTATCAATTTATTTACAATAAAATGGAGCTGAGGATTAAAAATCAGCTTTCATACCTAGCTTGGTGAATAGCTTCTACCCATTCATCTCCATCAACTTCATCCTCGCAACGGAGCTCCAGTGGCTTCTGCCCTTCATGGCCAAAAAGAACAGTAAAGTAATGCTGCAAATTAGAACAAGAAAAAAATGTTCAGAAACTCTTTTAAATAAAATAGATATATAAAATAAAATAAAAAAAAATCTGATTTTTTTAAACGCAGCCCAAAGCACTGCCAGCCTAGGAAGATGTGTATTAAGCTATTAGTTATGAAACATGGATTGAAGCTGAAACTGTATCCTTAACATGTTCCCCTGTGTATCAAGGTAATAGCTTTCATGATACTTATCGTAAGTTATTGTTCTTAAGCTCCCACACACAAAACAACAGAATATAATTCCCTAAGCAGCTTCTACAGTCAAATACAATAGTGTGACTGTAGTGGGGTGTCTGTAGTTCTTTCTCCCTTGCATTTTTTCACCTAAAATTTTTCTTAGATGCCAGCACGGGACACCAAATCCGGAACTGCCACTACTTCCTCACAAGAATGCGGATTGTGCACCGGCTCTAGCTTATTTCCTCACCTTTCCAAAAGAACAAGGAAAGTGTCCCTTCTCATTCATCACACTCCTAAAACATTTTTGCCCTTCTTTGAAGAAGCCTCATCCATAATTGTCATTGCAACAACTTTTTGTTTTCACAAGAAAATGCTGTTCACACAAGAAATGTCATATTCTTCGATGGCATTTCTTACATGAAGGACATTGCCCACAGTATGTTCCGTAGAAGACAGAATTTCAGGAAAGTTTTTGCTATTTTTGGAATATAGTAATAATAGTAATATCTAGTAGGGAGGGGAGAACCCCCAGTCATCTACCTTAAAACCCATTTCACAATGTTGGTAATTTACAACTTTATTTTGCATAGCTTGCATACTAACTTAGAGCCAAGTAGCAAACGGAATTCTTCCAACTTAGATGAAAATAGGTGAGAAAATATTCTACCTAAACGCACACCTGTAATTTCCATAGATGCCTTAAATACACCCATTAGTAAGCAAGCTGCTTCACAGGCAGAGGGACCATACATAAAACCATCTGGTTATTAGGTCCAATGTGATTCAGGAGCTCCTATAGCTAAACATCCCTGCACCAGATCACTCAGTTCTCTTCATTACCTAGAACTTCTCAACCCCTCTTCCACCTTCATCCCAGGGAACCCAGTATAACCACATGTGGCAGCAATTACTTTCTGGGGTCTAACAGCAAATCCCAAACTTGCTCCAGTCAGCAAGCGAGGTATGTAATTTGCGTTCTCCCACGCCATTAGCCATTGTTTACAGCAGTAAGAAACCTGAAGTGATGTCAACATCGTGCTTTCCTTGTCAAACCCACAGCTTAGCTGAAGAAGCCTCTCTGAGCCAAACACCATGCTGGAGATCAAGCAAATATAAAATGCCTCAGAATTAAAAACCATTTCCAAGGCAGGAGGAACACAAGCATAGACAGAAACAGAAGGGATGAAATTTTACCTACAGAGAATTGGCTGCAGATATCGTCAACACTGATAAGGAATTTTGTCCATATAAAAAAGAGATTATTTCAGCCATTTATTGGCGCCTTTTGAAACATCTGGCAGCCTGCTGTGCACGTACAACACACAAGTTGGCTGCACAGTGTGCACAGGGCAGGTTCAATACACCCCAGATGCACTGGATTCACTACACTGGCTCTAGCACTGTCTGTGCACCTGTATTTGCATCGAGGTTTGTGCCTGGAGACCTCACATTTACAAAACCAAGCTGCCTCTCTGCATCTGAGTACACTCATACGTTTGGTTTCTTTTCAGGTAACATGAGTACATATGATGGCATTCCACAAGGAGAAAACTGTTCATTTGTGCATTATATTAATTTACTAAACATTGTTACATGTATACAAAACACTTTTCATACAGAAGACCACAAGCACTGCAGGATTAGCAACAAACCAACAAAACAGAAACAAGGCAAAATAAGAAGCAGTGTTCACATTTAACAGGCTGTACAAAGAAAGTCCAGGGTCAGGTCCATTAAGTTTCAGAAACGAAACAACACCAGAGCACAGACAAGGATCAATAAATCATTAAAAGGACAATAAAACTGTGTTTTTTCGACAGTGCGTACCACTTAGACCTGAATGCCATGAATAATAAGAAACCTTTAATCAGGTCCATAGGATTCTCCATAGCAGTGATAAAAACTTTTATAACAATACAGTGCAGTTGAAAATGACCTACAGGACAGTAAAAAGTGCAGCAAGATTACAGAAATGTGTTCTGTTTATAGACTGGAATAGTCTATTTTAAGAAGTATATATAAAGATAAATCACACTGTTCAGAGCGGCATTTTATATAACAAGTTATTTGCGTTTCATAAAGCTGCTACATATAAAATTAGAATAAAGACACAAGTGTAGACAAGCACTGGATTTAATCCCATTGTGTAGGGATTCAAGTTAAAGGGAGAGGCAATATTACAGTCCTCCCTACTTTTTCTTTTAAAGTGAGGTAACTCAGACCTCTTTTGAGCAAGACTTGCAGTGATCTCATGTCGTAGAATTTAGACTTAGAGGTGTGCAGTTACTATGGTGATAGGCATGATCGAAACGCTTAGTTAGACCAAGAAAATGCACAAATTCAAACAAACAGAGGGCTACTACAGTAGGACACCACCCAATGGAAATGAAAGCTAAATTATAAAAGGCATTTGTTTTCAGAAGCTACTTTTAAGAATTATCTACATCCTCCACCCCCCTCAAACATGCATATGGCACTCAAGCATCAGTATCAACTGTCACATCATTTATCCAGAAGTAATCAACTCTAGAGTAAGCACAGTGCAAGCAAAATATCAAAACATGCCTCTAAAAAGAATCTCTAAGTCATCCTTGAATTCTCTTTTTAAAACACATGTTGCTCATTTACAAAACTAATTTACTACAAAAAAGTAAGATGGTATCTGTGATGCATTATTAGATTTTCAAGTTGATGATGTATGTGAGTGGGCCTATATACATATATATATATATTTATATATAGACATATATAATTTTAGCACTGCCATTCAATCTGCTAAACAGCTCAGCTTCCACAACACTGCAGTACAGTACAGGTAAAAACCACCTTTCTGCATACACACTATTAGTTTCTTGAAGTGATGACAGTAAATACTTAAGAACTATAGGACACATTTACAACAACTACCCTCATCATCATTCATCATGTCTGTTGGGCTATCAGGCAGGCACTCATGTTTCAAGTTAAGCCCGTGGTTCAGTTGCACAATTTTTTTATTATTGTTTATTCTGAAAATTGTCAGACTCATTGAAGATAAAACGAACATTCTGTATTTTGATATAAAACAAATTCAGTACTTTCATTTTAAGGAGTCTTTTCAGTATTCAGGTATGCACAAGCAAAATGGTAAGTCTTCGTTTTAATAAAAACATCTTTGGCAGAGTTATACAAAGTAAAGCTTGGAAACAAAAGGAGGGAAAGGTTCATATACCTTGCATAGGTATGAAGGTACTATCTTGACTGACAGTCGAAGAAAGAACAATGGGATCAAGATGCATCAAGAATATTGTTGTGTATCATTTGTCTGGCTTGTATCTGGTACTAATCAGAGTTTCTTCCTATGGTGAAAAAGAAAGACTAAGGAATGAGCTGACGGGCACCTCCGCCTCAGAGACAAGACTGGAATAAGATTAAGACCCTGACTGAAAGAAGTCCTGTACCAGAGTACACTGATTATTATGCTGGGCTCCCCACTGACAGCAGTTCACACCATAACTTTGTCTTTATAAAACTGTCCAGATAATGGTTGTATTCAAAATAAGTCAGCAAAAGCTCTGAAGTTGCCATGCTTTCCAAGGGGAAAAACAAGCATCATTCTGGTAAAAAGCAAAACAAAAACCAAACGAACCAAAGAAACAAGCAAACAAAAAAACCCAAAACCAAAAAAACCAACCCAAATTATATACACCCTGTAACAGACACACTACTTTTAAGGCATACTGAGGTAGAGCTTCCACCAATACAGACAAGCCTAAGACTAAATTTCCCGAGAGCAGAATGCTGTTCTCCTTGTGACTGACAAGAGTATGTGCTGTTTATGAAGTGAGTCACGCCAACACAAGCACTGCACTCTCCAATGCATGGGGACAGTCCCTCAGCTCATTCTCTTCCCTCCACCTCGCATGGAAACTACAAAGGACATCTCCTATCCTATCTCTTATCTCCTATCCCCTGATAACTTATCGCTACGTCTGTTTCGTCTGTTACTCATTTTCATCCCCCAGTAGTTGTAGTAACCCGATGTGTCTTTTCCATTTGTAAATTAGTGGTGATGCTTGCAACAATTCAGTTACCGAAACACTGAAGGACCAAGGAGAATGAGCACTCATCGTCCCACGGTGCTGCTGCTACCTGTCACAGGCAGAAAAGCTGCTACCCTAGATAATAACTCTGCTTGACAATTCCTACTGCAAGCTCCTGCCTTCAGCTCCTCGTAAATTTGGTCAGCTTTGAATGTCTGGATGGAAAAAATACTGGAGAAATGATGCATGTGTCAACAGTGGTTTTGTTGTCTTATCCTTCCATTACCACGGCATATAAACATTTAAATTATGTTGCAAAGGTCTCCAAGGTGACTACCAAATTTTGTCGTACTGTGGGCTTGTAAATTATTATAGTGTGGTAATAGCTACTTGCCTATGAACTGCTTTTCTCTAAACTTTTCATACTAAACATAAAACAATTCTAATTCTCTTCCTAATATAATATAAAAATACCATTTTTAAAGCTTAAAAGTGGTGTGACCTCATTAGATGCTATTTGCTGATCTTTCAGTGACTTATTGCACAGTCTTGGTTTAGTCATTCAAGCCAGGACTTCGAGAATAATTTAAAAAGAAAATTCCAGCCATCAATATTGATAAGAATGGAGACTATAAGTGCAAAACAACTGTGAAAAGTTAGTCTGTGTACCAAGATTGCTACCAAAAATTAAGAGCCTTAACAAAAGTCTGCCTTCAATGCGAGGCATGAGGAAGCTTAATCATTTGCTCTATCTTTAAGGCTTATAT